CGACGAGCACCTCTCTGACAATCTCCTCGTGCTGGATGAACAATAAGGAAATCAATGCCCTCAACATTATCTGGTGTTACTGTATTCTTCACTAGATTGGGCCTTTCCTCCTCCCTTTTCATCTCGAGGAAATGATCACTTCTCTCTGATAGTCCTGATACAAAAAAAAACAGTCTTTGTTACACACAAAGAGCTTCTTTGTGACACCAAACCATCAGGCCTTCAGATAGACATTTTGTCATTTTTCAAGCTTGATTCCTATTCTTACAGATGGTATTTGCTGTTGTGTGTGTGTGTGTGTGTGTGTGTGTCAGGAAAGTGGTGCTAAAACTTCAAACAAAGTGACTTTTCTCCAGTGGTAGAATAGAAACTTTATAAGCAGTGTGGGAAAAGGTGATATAGTGCCCTCCACTAAACCTTTCTCTCCAGCAGGCTACCCCTCAGTGACCCCGTTATTCTGACGGAGGACGATAAACAGCGAGGTGCCAGCCTATACTTTCCTGAGAGAAGACGATAGAGACACTGCGGCACGAGGCTTTCATTAATTACTTCTTATCCTCAGCGGAAGTCTCACATTAAAACTGTCTGAACTCTGTGAACTTCTTTAGTTTGACTCTTTTCTATTTGTTCCCCTCAACTCTCCAATCAACGATGATTTGAAATAAAGAAGAGTATTTGATTGTAGTGAGGAGAGTCATTTAAAAAATCAGGTATGGTTTAAATATAAACTCATTGATAGATCTGTTTATCCTCTTGACAAATCTCTCACTAAGGATACCGGTGTGGCCTTCTGTAATGTGAAATATATGGAACATTGAGTTTTAACCCTTTTTGTTGGATAGCTGTAAGGTTGTTTACTTGTAGTTGATACGAGGTAGACCTTGAGGAGATGTAATCTAATTCAGCTATGTGCCATTATAATGATAAAGGGGATTCATGTTCTGAATGGCTGAGAAAATGGAAAATGCCATCAGACAGCCACAGTCCTCTTTGGGTTACATCCTATTTCACAACTGGAAAGTCCTCACTGTACAGTTTGACTTCCTTGTTATTAACACAGTAAATCAGGTCTTGTATTAATTACTTGAACATTGGGAATAGCAATCAGAAACCACAGTCAGCGACAGCTCCTTGAATCTGTCCATCTGGATACGAATTCAGTCTCTCCTTTTCAAACAAATCTTTTTAGAGTTCCAAAGATAATTTGCATAAACACAGACACGCGTACACCAACAACGATTCAAGGAAGCCTGCCAAAACAAATGAAATGCCACAGAGGTCTGTGTCTGTACCGTAAAACAAATCTGTTGTTGCTCACAATCACAGAGGGCTGATTCAATAGCTGTGTATCCGAATGAGAATCCACTCTGTTATAACTTGACCTTTCTATTCCTCTGTCCACTCCTAATCTCGCTTTCATTGTCTGCACACACACACACACACACATCATTATGTCTCCTCTTTTTCGTTCTCTTCTCTCCATTCCTCACACCGATGAGATCATTGCTCTGATTTAGGGCCAGCTGTTACGGTTTGGGGGCATCTGGAAGAAATTCCAGGGCACAGCCACAGATCACAAGCCCACACAGAGCCTCCTGTCCAGTCGTGTAATGCTCCACAGCTGCAGAACATCCACACACATAACTCTTTAGGAAGAACAGCAGACATGCTCAGTTGTATCTGAATCTGCACTAAGCTAAAGTACACATGTGTCACAGCATGTGTGATGTCATGATAATGCTTGCACTGCATCGCTCTGAGGGATTTATGAACTATTTCTTTTAACTTGTTGAACGAGTCCTCCACACAAATACCAACGACCCTCTGAGGACACTTAGTGGTCAGGGTACCACATTACAATGAACATATTATTAAACAATGGGCCCAGTTATTCAAGAGTAATCTGCTCGATTTGATTTGTTTTTTATCCAGATAAAACCTCCAGCTTGTTTTGTTCAAACACTTTTGAGTAGGGTTGGGATAACCTCGATCCAAAACATCTGGAGTATCCTCATCCCAGCAGAAAGTTGATTTGATGGCAGGACATTTCATAAAACTTTGATCTGGTTTAATGACTAAACCACCCACTGGAGTCCTGCATAACTAAGTGCAATATATTTATTCTATACCTGTCACCTGCAAATTAAAAATTGTATATTTTATACTATATCGTATTATTTAATTGTATTTCTTATATGAATATTTGGTTTTAGTATTTGTATATTTGTATATTTCTGATATTAGGCATCTACAGGCTTGCTCCAACAATATTTTGTTGTACTTGTACAGTGACAATAAAGATATCTTATCTTATTTTATCTAATCAATATTTTTACAATGATTTTGATGGTTTTTAATATTCAGTTGTCCGATTGCTTCCTGTGGACAAACTTTGAAGTCCAAGTTAGAACAATTGGAATACGGACTTTGTCATCTTTAAGAGTCTGTAGCTGAATATATATGTATATATATGTATATATATATATATATATATATATACATATACATATATATAATATAATATATTATCAAATCCAGCATTTCTTTTAAAATAGAGAGCAAATGTAATATATGATCAGCTGATCCTGGGTACAATAAAAGTGAATTTCAAGACAGGATCATTCTTTCAAGATTATACCTTTTAAACAAGAGGACCAAGGAGCCCAGACTTTAAATACTTGGATTACAAATTAAATGTGTACACCCTTGCACTTTGGAATTTATTAGATATCATAACTGTGTAGTTTTAAGCCATTGTGCAAGTCTATACAAATTAAAAATGCATGTCAACACAGAATGTTTTTCTCCTTTAACAGTTATATGAGTGAAATCATTTCAAGTTGGACCCCCTTGAAAACGAGATGGTTCATCTCATCAATAAACAGAATTTCTTACAAGTGGCATGCAGAACATTTCACATGCTCCTTGTCAGGATTAAAACTTTAAACTTCAGGATGTGATTTCCCTAGAAACAAATAAATGTGCTCACCAGATAAATGATTGAGTAGATCATCAATGTGACAAGTATGAGTAGGTCACACACATGACACACATGTTTACATTCCTGTCCTCACATGCAGGTAAAAGGGAACAAGGAGAGGAATTAAAGCCAGTATGAGTTCATGCTCTGTTGGAACCTGAACAGCACAGGTCATGAAACTGACACCAACGGTTTTACTGAGGTCACTTCATGTTTTTCATACTGCCTGACATATTGCTCATAGAAGTTCACTTGAATGTCTTTGTGGATGATACAAAAAGAATCATTCTGGGCTTGAACTTAATCTTTCTTGTTTACAGTGCTGGAGGGTCACATTTTGAGTCTAAACAATGTTGGGAAATTGAGAGAAATAAACTATTTTTAAACTAATAAAGGGACATTTGTGATGGATATTGGTTCGGGTAATACCCAGTATATGTCACCTTGCAATAACTTGTGTTTTCATTTGGGTGCTTTTCAAAAAAAAAGTTTCACATTTGTGTGTGTAATAAACCCCTGTAAGCCAAACATTAGAGGGACAGGCCTTGACGGTACATCCACACCCCATCTCTTATCCTGCTCATGTTTCTTTTTATTATTCAAATCTCAGTCTCATCAACCATCTGTTTCCCAACTAAACATGTCGTCCAAAACATTATTGTCAGCTCTTTTCCCTATGACCTGCCTTATTATTGTATTCTTTAAATGTGCTGTCACTTTGAGGGTGTGTTTCTCAGTAATTTAGATTCAGGATATTCTTTATTGTGTATTGTCAAACCTGTTTTAAAGATGACACAAACATTCAGTGAGGTGTAATTATTGTGATACAAAAAACAAATAATGTTGCCTGTTGTTCATCAACTAAGGATGTAAAGAGCTGGAGAAAAGCTGCAATTTAGAAAATGGAGAAAAAAAAACAATATATAAAAGAAGCCATTATTGTTGACGTTAATGTCTGTCGTTGGATCGTAGCCAAAAGCACTAAGTGACAAGAGTGCATGAGAGATCAGAAAAGGGTGATATAAAATAAGTCTGATTAATTTTCTGTCTTTGGTTTGTAATCAAACTCATGGTCATAATACTGCAGTGCCCCAAAGGACTAATACAAAAATAGATAGGAGCACAAAAACATAAAAGGTCTTCATTTCATAACGCTTTAACATTTCTGCTGTTTGTCGTTAATTGCAGCTATAGGACTTTTCATACTGTGGTGATATGTATTCAATTCAAATAACTTTATTTATCCGTTAGGAACTTCATTTGTGTAAAAGAGCATCAGTGTCTACACAAAAACAACAACAGAAACACACACATACAAGTGGCTCTATTAAAAGCATGATAATAGGTCATAAATAATTATGGTTAAAAGAGTGGTGTTAAAAATAAATAAGAAATAGATCATTTGTTCATGAGCCTGATGGATGTGGGAGCAAAGCTTGACATGGCTCGATTAGTCCGTAAAGTGAGAGATCTGTATCTGTGGCCTGAGGGGAGACGGTTGTAAAGATGGCAAAGTGTGTGTGCTGTCTGAGGCTTTGTGTGTGTGTGTGTGTGTGTGTGTGTGTGTGTGTGTGTGTGTGTGTGTGTGTGTGTGTGTGTGTGTGTGTGTGTGTGTGTGTGTGCTGTCTGAGGCTATGTGTTGTACAAAGTCGCTGTGGGGCAGGTCAGGAGGGGTTGTGACATTTTGAAATGGAGAGCCAAAGAGGACCTTAGTCCAAATGTCAGTAGCCTGTCACTAATCTTTAAGAGGATGTAGCTTCTCACATACTTTCACTTTAGGCAATTGTCTTAATACAAAGTATTTATTTTAAAAGGGAAACACATTTTATTGTACTTTTTCTAAAAGTTGCATTAGTGGGGAATAGGCTACTCTTTTACTCTGAAGGGCTCATGACCGGAAGTCTAATTGTTGTTGTTCGTGAGCATCATAGACTGGTACACCTGTGACCAAGGTCACTGTGTTTTTAACGGAAGAGATAACGACAAAATAAAATCGTGAAATGGTAAAGTAAAACCAGAGTATAGCCTACACTAGACTCTCACTTTGTTTCTTCTTTTCGGATGAATTAAATTGTCTTAAATTATTTTCTATTTTTTTATTTTCGTCTATCTCTGTTTTGTTGGCATGTTGATTTTGGGATCTTAATTCACAAAAATACTTGAGTAGGGCAAGTGCTAACATAAGGCTACATCGTAAAGGCTACCTATAGCCTATTTTTGGTTTGCTAAGCTCCTTTGCATCGTTGTTTCGTTACAGAAGCCACATTAAGGACTGTTTTAAAAATGAAGGTCATGTTCATAAACAGAGTAATGAGGGCAAAAGTCTTGAGACTTCATTTTACAGAAGTGGTCTTATACGTCACCCTACAGCACTACTCCTGCATGCTGCCAGCGTCAGTCTCAAACAGGTGCTGCACATGACAGCCTGCAGGCTACTCTTGGAGGGGACACAAACATACAAGAAAGCGCTCTAAAAATATTTTGTTTGTATGTTTTTTTTTTTACGTCACTATACAGGTTTGGTGAGGTGCAGAAGCTTCTTTACGCGGGAGTGCGCTAAAATGTGTGTGTGAATGTCTCTCTTCATGCTGCCTTCATGTTCTGCCTGGAAAGTGAAGTTCCTCTGGACTTTTTCTACTCCTGGCGACGTAGGGGGAATTGAAATGTCAGTGGCATAAAAGCCGCTGACAATCTAAAGAGTCTTCATTTCTTCTGGGAACTGATGCCAAGGTAACATGACATTTTACTCACTGTCGCATGTTTAACTTTATTCAAAGAAAAAGTTTAGATAAATCCACTGTAATAGAAATTAACAATGTGTAGCTGCTGATGTAATATAGGCGACATTACTTAAATACATTCATTAAATATAATTAATGACATAATTGAATAACTTGTTTAATTCTCTATCTTGTTGTTTTAAGTTTTACACGATGCATATTTAATATAAGTAATCTATCATGAGAACCACTGGGCTGCTAAAGATGTTTTTTTATGATCTTAGATGCTGATGAAAGTAACTTTATTTGAAGTTGAAATGGTTAATCAGCTGTTGTTTCTGTGTATATAGGCCAGTTAGTTCAAAATGTTGATGAAGTATGTCTAATTGTTATTTTTATTATTATTCAAATTAGTTTTTAGACTGCTGTTCAGGCTACTGAGATTTGTTTTGACTCGCTTCATCGTATTTCTCTTGATCTATTTGCTCATATTCACAGAAGTGTAATCCCAATCCTGAGTTGTTGATTCGATGTGATTTATTCAAGATGTGATGTTTATCTGCACGTCATTTGAGAGTCTCCTCTGTGCTGACTTTTTTTTTCACTATTGTCCCATGTGTTCTCTTTTTACTTCTTCAACTTAATTACCTTCACTGCCTCACTTTTTCTGTTTTTTTTCTCTCTTTTGGGATTCAGATGAAGTTATTTGTTTTCAGCATCGTCTGTTCATTTCTACAAATCAGTCGCCAAAATCCTCCAACCCAATGGACTCTGCTGCCACACAGTATACTTGATCTCTCTAATCATATTATTTTTGATCGTCCCATGTTGCATTAATTCCCCTCATGAATCCCCTTTCTGTTTCTTTGCCTCTTCTTTCAGTTCTGGTTGTGGAGGTGGATGGCAGTAAGAGTCAGCTGCCTCTGAGCTGCCTGCAGCCAGAGGAGTTACCAAGGAGAGGCAACGAGAGTCTGGATATATTTTGGATGAAGGACAAAGAGGCGGGAGCGCAGAGAGGGAACACGTATCAGGTGCGGCTGCAGGAAAGCTTAGGAGGGGGCAGCTACACCTGCTACAGCAGGAACGGATCACTCCTCAACCACACGGAGGTCCTGATCCAAGAGAAGGGAGCTGTGAGGAGAAAGATTCTTGTTAAAACTGACCAAGGTACAGTCTCATTTGCACTGTGGCTCTTTTAAAGCTGTTACATAACAAATAGAGGAAAATTGTCATTTGAAACACTTTGATATTTTCTCAGTTTTGAGTTCCCATCTCTTTGTGTTCATGTGATTTTTTTCTCTTTGGTAGATTATTTAAAAGTGCTCCGCTCAAAATTTAAATGGAGAGTTTCGCTGCTCCTGGACCTGGGACCGCTTACGAGTGGGCGTTGTAGCATTCATCAGAGCTCAACGGTAAGCTCCGTATAACTGCTGAAATGTTTCTGTTTGCTCCTCTCAGATTTATGTCGAGGCTGTGATCGTTACATAACCTCTGATGCAAACATAAGAAAGTACCCAGTGCCCCCCCCCCCCAAGGTCAAGTAAAAAAAAAAAATATATATATTATATATTTTTTAAAGATTTGTTTTGGGGCTTTTTGTGCCTTTATTATAGAGATATGATAGTGGATAGAGTCTGAAATCAGGGAAAGAAGTCATTTAAGGATACCTTTCTGATAGAAAAGGACAGCTGTCATTAAAAGTAACACATGTACATCAAGATTTCTTCAAGTGTTTGTGTCGCCATGTCGCCTGTCGGCATGTCGGCTTGTCTCCAGCCCCCCAACGCCTAGACCTGCCGCCCCCTAAACCTAGGGGAAACACTGGGTACCCATTTGTCATTTGGGGATCAATGTCATATGTTTGGATCAGATTTATGTGAAAAAAAAAAAGGCAGCAGTTATTGAATTACATATAAATGTATTTTAATGTCTTTTGTTTCATTTACAATAAGTCATTCTAGCTTGTTGGCATGACAACCTAAGCCCCATCTACTGATTCCATGTGTCACATTAATTAAGAAAATGTATTTTCTTTTCTGCAGTGCCTCTGATGACACCCAGTGTTCTGTGGACTCGGGCGGTAAGCATTGGAGCTGCTCCTCACACCACAGTAAGTTCAGGTGTTCAGTGGACGACAGTGGAAACGGCATCACATGCGTCGACGAGCTGCACTGCCCTTACGCCGAGGAGATCCAGCAGATCCACATCACCGTCTATGTGAAGACCAAGCACTTCCTAGTGGAGAACTACTCCAAACACTTTTACCTCTCAGAGATCGGTGAGACACGTCTATGCTCCTGTACTTTTTGAGTTCAGCTTTTTGTTTTTGTAGTTTTTACATCGCTTGTATCTCTCTCTTTCGTCATTCATAGTGAAACCCGACAAGGTGCACATCAACAAAGTGAACACCACCATGATTGAGTGGAGTTACCCGAGCTCCTGGAGCATTCCCTTCTCCTACTTCCCCCTCACTTTCCAAATCGCTCTGTTCAAGAGGGACTGTGAGATGTGTGTGAACCCGTGCACTGACTCCAAAGCCACAAAGGTGAGAGGAATCCACTGGTTGTTAACTTTGACACTTCATGAATCTGAAAACCAAAACTAGACTTTCAATCAAATATATTTCATCACATGCCAGGAAAGCCAAAGATGCACTCAAAAGAGGAACACTCAGAGGGAAAGTTGATGTGATGATATTTATTTCTGTTTCTAGACTTTGATGGTCCACTCTACAGACATCTGTCGGTTAGAAGTGAAGCACAAGTCGAAGGCCGTCTGTGTCAGAGCTAAAGATGCTCTCTGTGACTCACAGTGGAGTGAGTGGAGCCACTTAAGGTTTGGCTTTTTTCGGTTTCTACAAAAGAACAGCTCTTCATTGCTCCCAGCAGTTTGATTTGAGGAGACTTCAAACAGTTGAATTACAAAAAAGCACTGAGCAGTTGCTAGAAGGATCATTGTAATGCAGATCCTATAGTGCATCATAACCACCAGAAAGTGTAATGAGTCTTTCTGCAACAATGAACTGTTATTACTGTGTTATCATTTATTACAAATACCAGCGCTTCAACATCGAGCTTCATCTGACCAAATGTACAACAACTTTTAAACTATTTTTCCTTTTAGCTCGTAAGCTGTCTTGATTTTTCAAACTAATTTCCTTATTTTCATTTTCTATTTCAGATTGAAGAGAAACAAGAGGAACAAAGAGAACAAAGAGAACAAACATCGACCAAACAAAAAAAGGGCTTAATGGATAATCCCATCACCGAACAACTCAGAAAGCCTCCTGTGTTAATTTATTTGTTTTTAAATATTTCTATTTATCTCATTTTATATCTCATTGTTTGTATTGTGTACCTATTCTTAATAATAAGCAAGAAAAACGTTTCAAATCTTTCTTTTGTCCTCCTGCATCACAACTCATTCATGAACATTGGATTTCCATTTGTTTCTTTATTTCAATGAACTGGTTGGTTCATTAGAAGGAGAAGTGGGTTTTTTATGGGCATTGTAGAAGTGCCCGATTAAGTATTTAGGGAAACTTTCTTTTGTTCTTTGAAGGCCTACATCTCTAATCCCCTCGCGTGAGCTCTTAATTAGAGAACAGAAACCTCAATATTAGTTTGCATTTGACCAATGAACATCTGGTTTAAATGTCATTAGCTGCTAGGGTTTTTTTTTTTAACCTAACCAGTCAGGTGGGAGTGTGACTTTCAATGGAAATTCTCATGGGACATGGGATTTCTGTGGCAGATATCCGTATCGATTTTCAGAATCAGAATCTGCTTTATTGTCCAGGTATGCTTACACACACAAGGAATTTAACTTTGGTGAACTGTGCTCTCTTATGTACAGGTACAACATTACATATCAACAATAAACATAATAAGAAAAGACTAATATTTACATGACTAAACATGAAACAGTGCAGTGGTGAACAGTGCAAAAAGATGCTGAAGTAACATGATAAGTAAAATGTAGTTATGTGACAGATGGGTCAATTAAGATGTCAATTACAGTATTTACATAAATAAGTGCGTGTATTGATCATCTAAATTAAATAATATATATATATACATATATGTATATTCACAGTGATGGATTTTGGACAGAAGAAATCTGATGCTGATATCTTTCTTAGAGCTCTCTTCAATCTGTACTACTATATGAGATACAGATAGACACTTTTTTTGCGTTGATCCCTCAGGTGCTAGTGTAAAACAATGAAACTCAAATGAAATGCTTTTTGACTGAAATCTAGTAATATCGGTTCATTTCTGGATCAAAATGAGTCAATCCCGATCTTACGCTAACATTGCCCGATACTATCGGCCAGACGACTTAATCGGTCGGGCACTTATTTGCTTTACATAAAAAAACAAGGTGGATGAAATTGATTGCAAAAAAAGTTTAGGCTGAAACCATCAAAATCTTGAATTAAATCAAATGAAAGCCTAAGAATAAAGTTTACTGAGGTTTGATAAAAATGAAGACCATTCAGAAATCATGAAGCATTTAAAGCTCTATGAAGATCGGGCTCTGAGACAGAGTTCCTGCTTTGTTTCAAACATCCCTGTAAGTAAACCCGCTGACGTCTAAACCTCTGAAGGGCTGTTAACATGCCGTAGTTTTGTGTGTTTGTGTTTTCTCTCTCTCCTGTGTGTGCTCCTCAGCCTCAGAGTGCCCAGCCACACCTGTGGCTAATTACTAATCAGGGGCAAACTATGAAGAGCAGGAGAGAGGAGACAGAGGTGGCCAGTGGGTCGTCGGACTGCGTGTGTCTTTGACGTCGAGACATTGAGTGTGATACTTCTGTGGAAGGATTGTGTTCAGAGTAAGGCCTTATTGTTACGTCTTGATTGTTAGCTTTGAATTGTGATTGGCCTCCCTTTGTTTTTTTTGGAAGAAGCTTGTTTTGTGTTGCACCTTCATGTTTAGTTTTTTAATAAATCCTTTTTAACTTTGCTTATATTTCTGTTCCCTGGGTTATCATTTACTCTTACTCCCCTCATCCCCTAGCCATGTTGGGGAACATAACAAGGGCTGAAGTTTTTGTTGTTACCTAACGGCTCCGGTCCCTGCTGGCATCCTCACCAAGTCTTTCCCATGACGAAGGTGAAAGTGTCTCTCTGGTGACTCAGCCTGACGACGGCCTTAGTTCCCTAAATGGTTTATCAGAGTTCATGACCTGACAGGACTCAAAGGTTTGTCTGTTTCTGTGATTTTTATTTATTTTTTTTTTTTTAACATTTCTTTTATTTGTGAAGTAAAGTCAGTTTGTGCGCCCTTGTGACCACTAAAAAAAGATGAAGATTGATTTCATATTTTAAATGAATTTTAGCTGAAGGTATCTCGTTATTCTAAAGGAGAAATAAATCAGTGAATCACTCCCCTCAGTAGGGTTGAGCGATATGACCTGAAATCAATATCAAGATTAAGTGAACATTTGACCTCGATTACGATTTCTGAACGATGATTTAGTTTTTGTTTTTTGCCCTCATAGTTCACTGATGAGGTCTCTACTGTAAATATACTCAACTATTACAGCTGGGATATGTTTTCTAATGTAAGAGTTCTAACTGATGAACTATTTTGTGGTTATTTATTGAATATTTGGAACTGAAATCAAGGCATCGCTTGAAATGAAAACAACACCTTTTTAGTTTTAAAGTAGGAATGAACTTCTCTAAAACAGTAGAAAATAAATAACTCTTATTTAATGAAAACAGTTTTTCCTCATTGTTTACATTTGACTTCTTTTAGTTCGATGTCATCTTCCTTAAAGACAGAATGTGTCCAAACGACGGACATTACTTCCATGTCGGTTTCGATTAATTTTGGATTAATTTCCCCGCCCTATCCCTGATCATCCCTTAACTTTGACTCTTTATTTCCATCTTCTCAGACTTTAGATTCTTCAGCGAGACAAAAAACTGCACTTTTTTTTGACTCCATTACATTTGATCAGTGATAAGACTCGTATCATTATAGATTTGACTGACAGCAGTAACTAAATGAGCCCTGCCTTCACTCTCATTAAGTGTTGCTAACTTAAACATTGTTAATCATTGTGTGTCGTAAGAGTTTGACTTTGGGTCACTGGGTCCAATGAGTGCTCTTCATCAGAATGAAGTCAGTGGATAAACTACTGTAGGCCACGAAGGGAAGACAAATGTTGCTCCTTGGTACTTGAACATAAAGAAAAAGGAACATCCAATTGCCAAATTTCCAGCTCAGTAATAATCTAAGTGGACACACAGATGTACTAATCATCAAATATCCTGGTCCCATGGCAGAAAAATCCAAACAAACACATCCATGCAGAGTAGTGAGCCACAGTGTGTCTGATCAGAAGGCTGTGGTGAACCTTCTCTTCACTACTTCTTCATAAAAAGCAGAAGAGGTCAGTCAGAGTGATGTAAGCACTTCCAGGGCCTGAGACCAGACACTCCTGACCTTTTTTATAAGTTGTGAGCTTTATATAACAGAGGGCACTTGTCACATTTCTGGGAAATTTTTGTACTATTGTTCATCTATTTCCCCCTTTTTGAAAAAGTCTGCGGGATGAACAAGAAGATGGACTATGTCTGCTGTAATGAAGGCTGAAAGTGAAAGGTTTTAACACAGAAATGTCCCCGTTCAGATACCACGTCATAAAGCTGACATTAGTTCTTTTGTCCAATTCTGATTGAAAGAAACGGGACATTTAAAGCTGCAAGTGATGATTGTGTCCGTTTTGTGTGTGAAACTGTCTGTGACTTCTTTTGTGTGCTTGTTGTTTTGTTTTGTGTTACTGGCTCAGTTGGTAGAGTTGGTCATCTCTCAACCAGAAGGTCGAGGGTTCGATTACCAGCTCCTTCAGCAACATGTCCAATGTGTCCTTGGGCGAGACACTTAACCCTGAATTGTTCCTGCTGCTTCGTCGACAGCGTATGAATGGGGTTAGTTACTTCTGATGGTATCACTACATAGTGACCTCTGTCATCAGTGTGTGAGCTGTGGTGTTAAAGTGTGTTGAGTAGTCTGAAGACTAGAAAAGCACTACATAAGCTCAAGTCACTTTTCCATTTACCTGCCTAAGGACTACGGATGAAATTGAGCTTTTGTGCTAATTCAGTCATATTTACATGGATGCATATTTCCGATATGTTGATTAATGTTCAACGTCCTAATCCAATAAATAAACAAAATGTTATTTATTAGATTACTCATTTTGTCTCACTAAATTGCCACAACATTTTTTTTAATTCCCTTTATCATTTCCAACAGCCAACATAACACGTTGAAATGGTTTTATCTGCAGTTAAATATATACAGTTATGAATCAAATGACAGTGTTTGAATTGTCTGTTTTAGGTTTGATAGGAAGGTGTTAATCCATAAAATGATCCTAATATGTGGTAAATTGAAAAGATACGTTTACAAGGTGTTACAAGCAGAAATCCATAGTCCCTGCTGACATGAGCACATGTCAGGTCTGAGGTTTTCAAAGGGGGGAACTGAGACAGAGAGGGGTACTGTGAGTATTTTGAGTCAGCCATGACCATTGCTACAGTCTCACTATAAACATGTGACGTGTGTGTGTTTTCTGTTTCACTTAAGCCGTATGATTTCACCGATACACACACCTACTCGCTGATTAATAAGGTCAAAGGTTATGAATGAAATCTGTGTATTGTAACATAGTCGGAGCTTAGAGGATTATAGTACAGACCATGAACTCATCTTTATGAATTCTAAAAAGAAGAAAAGATTCAGAAATGTGGCTGAACCTTTATTTTGTTGTTGCTCTCTTAAGTTTTGGAAAATAAAGTGTTATTTGTAGAAATAACTGTAATAGAGTTCATAACATACCACAATGTGTTTTTAAAGATGTGAGAAATGTGAACATACTTGGTAGTAGAAAAAGTTTTGTGTTTAAACTTGAAATACCATGATCTGTATTTTTACAAATGGCCTGTCCCCCCCCCCCCCTTCCTCCTCCCATAATCTGACCTTAATTACATGTCGTTTACTTACAAATTAAGTTCACAAGGCCTCAAGGTTCCAGTTTAGCCCTGCTTCATTTAAATGGTTGAGAAGCACATTTTATATATATATATATATATATATACATATATGCTTAAACAATCAAAATGTAGAAAGGGTAAGATTGACTGCTGAAGTGTATGTTTTTTTTTATCCTTTTTGGACATGAAATGTGGAGTTTTTGTAAATGTAAAAAGAGAATTTGTCATTAATAACTTCCTCAAACAAAGACTGACATCATAATACACACAAACACGTTCATTCATTCAGAACACAAACAACAATAACCAGAGTGAGAGACTGAACTTCCTTGACTAAAGACAGAGGATTATATCCACGTGATATATAACAGCATTTGCTCCTCATGCAGCTACAACATGGATCACATTCACAGCGTGTGTCATGAATCCACAGCGTCATTGACCTTGTCCACGTTTGTTAACCATGCTAATTAATGGGCAGATTTGGACAGATGGCATTTATCTGCATTCCACTTATGTGAGTGCTACATTGAGAATACGTGACTCGCGGAGGCAAAAATATTCCAACTTCGGTCGTGCAATGTCCACGTGACGCCACTAGATGGCAACATTGCACCAAATACGGTGACGAGGGTTTCAGAGGGTAAGAAATGTGCGAGTTACTGAAAGTGAGAGGTCATCATTAGATGAGCCATAGATGTGATGCACGGAAAGTAAAAACCTAACGTATTTACTTTAAATAGAGATAATTTATAATTTTCTTAAACTGTGCTTTAGTTCCTCATTTTTTATATTTTATTTTTTCAGTTTAGCAGCGGTGATTTCTTTAGATGTTTCAGAAGCATTATAAGCCCTCGTGATAACATCGCTTTAATACAGTTATCAATCACATTTGGCAAGTCTCTTGTCTGCATATTTGGACCTTTCTATATTTGTCGTCTTTTATGTCGAAGCAGGGAGCAGATTGTCAGACATAAGGTCCACTTTCATAAGCGTATGCCTGATTTTTTTACAACTATTCATTTTTACGAGTCTTTCAATTCAATCGGGCCATTATTATCATCAGTCCAACCTTTGATTTACGGGAACATCTGCTGGTTGTGCTCCTTTCTGATCACTAACTTCAAAATGTCTAATAGAGTTATAACACAGAGGATTTTAATAGGCTTTCCATATGTGGACACTTGGATGAAAGTCGTATTCACACACACACACACACACACACACACACACACACACACCTTTACATAGTTTACATTCCCGTCTGTGCGTAATGGCTGGAGATACAGTTCAGAACTTTGTGTCCGGGTGCCATGGAGTTAGTAAATCACAGTATTAACATGGCGGGATCATTGGACCCCCGTTGACATCTGTGTTTTCGGATAGTGAGACAGTGATATTTGGGCTAACAGTGTGTGTTGGTTCTCGGGGATATAAATATATGCCCCCCCCCCCTTGGGGCCTGGAGGGTTCGCGCGGGCCCGCATGCCGACCAAGGCAGACAGATCATGGCGCGAGAGCCGGCCACAATCAAACAAATGTGCTGAAGGATAGCTCTGAACTTGTGTGCGTGTGTTTGTGTGTGCGTTAAGAGCGCCAGTGTGAGAGACATTTAATCTCACGTTGCTTTTATTTATCACTATTTATTGTATGGTGTACTCACGTGGTGGGGGGGTCATATTTCTCCTCCCCCCAGCAGGAGACATAAATAAACAGCTATAGACAATGATGAGGTGATTGCGGGGCTGTGGAGTGGAGCTTGACCGTTTATGGCATTTATGAGAAAGTGGCAGAGACTCCTGAGTCCGCTGTCTGCACAGGAGATGTTTCTTCAAAATGTCTTTTAACTGACAGAATGTAAGAAACTCGCTTTAAGAACATAGAATTATAAAATAAATCACATCATTGTAAATAAATTGCATTTTGCACTGATTTTTACATTTTCTGAGGACATTTAATGCGCGATTTAAAAAAAAAAAAACTGACCCCAACAACATCATCGTGTCAAACTGTTTCATTTGGACAATCCTTGATAAAAATCTTAACATCCAAACACTGATAAACAAAAACAGATTCTCTCTTATTCTTCACATTTCATTATAAGAAAGCAAACAGTAGAACAGATGGCCCCCAGACAATTCGATTTAGCAATGGCTCTGTAATGATGAAGGGGGAAGTGATGAGGAGAGCTCTAACACCCTCTCTTATTGCGAAGCTGCTCTTTGCTGTGCACTTTTTCATGCACGTGAGCCCACCGTGCAGTTTCACGGCTCTATGAGCAGCCATGCAAATATATATATTTTTAATTTGTTGTTTTTGAGCAGTTATTTTACACTGATTGCATTTTTTTGGACAGTGGGACAAATCAGAGTTTAGCTGTAATCCTTGTATTTATGTTGGATTCAGCACTTAGTCCCGCAAGATTTCTGTAAAGCATCTAATCAAAGCTCATTTCAAACCATCCGGCTGAAACTGAAAATTGTGCGCCGCCGCTGCCAGGCTTTTTGGTTTAGCTGAAACTTTCTTAAGCTCCTAATCTGCCTGAGTTGATACTCTGAATGAGCACTTCGACCATCCTTTCTTTTCCTGTGAGAAAATAAAACAATTAAATTTTAATAGGTCATATAAAGTCGTTTTGTTAAAAAAAAAAAAAAACCCACAAATGTGTAAAATTAAAGATATAATAATAAAGTGTTATTATCTATTGGACATGTATATTAAAATATCAGCGCCATTACATCTGCTAACAAAATTGATGAAACTCAGATTTTGCCCTCTTGGGCTTCTGCAAGTTTTTCTCATTTAAAATCGTTTTTTTTTCTTAAGCCCATGATCGGACTCTGGTCTTGTTTTGCAGACATGATGCGGACACATTTTCATAGCAGCAGCTCGAGTGTCACAGCAGCGAACAGACGATAGATGTTACAAGCCTTCACTCTGCCCTTTTGGTCTCAGCGGGCAAACTGCGTGGATTTAACTAATGTTCTCCCATGAGTTCATGTTTGATGGTCGTGAATACATTAATTGTCAACTCTAAACACATGCACATAAAAGTCGGAGCGTACACACATTTTGGCGCGCGCACACACACACACACACACGCACACACACACACGCACACACACAGCGCACAGCTTCTGGCTAAGTGGCCGGGGCGGGACGCTGCGTGGGACGAGGCGGGGACAGCAGGCAGACGGGCGGGGGAAGCAGCGTGCTGGTCGGGCTGGTGGACAGCTGATTGTCCGTGTTATTAACTGTGTTTGGGGGCGTGTCCGCTCGCCTCATAGACCACGCCTCCCTCACCTACTAGTTCCCTCTCCTGTTTGGCATCCCAGAGATGGTCCAAAGTGATTCCTCAGGGAAGAATCGAGCGCAAATCACCCGAGCAGGAGCGAACGAGTAGCGGAGACACCGCTGCCCAGGACTGCCTTTTAATTGCGCGTAATCTTCCGTTTCATCATTCTGAACAGAGGAGAAGACTTTGTTGAGAAATAGGTGTTTCATCTGCCGTGGTTTTTCTTTCTCACAGTGGACTGTTTGTTGCCAAAAAGTGACATTTTTGCGTGTTTTTTCTCAGCTGCACCTTGATCCGGGGGACTGTCGCCAACTCCGAGCAGCCTCTCATCTCGCTCTTCCCCTTTCATCGCTCTCACGTTGTTCATCTTCACAGCTGCAGCTTCCCCCTCTCTTTTTTTTTTCTTCTGGAGTCGCTGACATGAGGTGCAGCTAACCCTGGATGCTGACAGCTCCCCCTCTTTCCTTCCACATGTCGCATCTTTTGTTTACTTTGAGAAAACACACCGCGCAACTAAACGCCAAGTGAAATAGACCACGCCACTTTGCTCCTCTGACAGCGCGATCAAACAGACGCAAGAGGAGGGGAGGCAGGGAGAGAAAAAAGGAGGGAGCCAAGAAGAGGAGGATAGAGAGTGTGTGGAGAGAGAGAGAGAGAGAGTATACGAGAGAGATAGCGACAGCGTGAAGGTGCGTTTTGATGTTTGGCATCCACGAGAGCATCCAGAGGAGTGGGAGTAGTATGAAAGAGGAGCCCATGGTGGCCGGGATGAACGCAGTTCGGACATGGATGCAGGGCGCCGGAGTGCTGGACGCCAACACAGCCGCTCAGAGGTGAGCCCGAGGCGGGATTGGCGCTGCGCTGGCACCGGGGCGAGGACACCTTTGTGTTGTGGGGGGGGGGGAGAGCGCGCGTAAAGATCTGCGGTGTTAAAGACGGAGCGGCTGTATCACTGGGGGCAGCTCGCGTCCCCCAGAGGACGCAGTTGTTGGATAACCGCTGTTCCTGCTGGCTTTAGAAGTTTTTTTTTTTAGCTTGAAGTCCAACATGATTAAATAATGCGGCTCAAAGTGTTTTCACATAATTCTGGACGGAAAGCACAGTTAGCTCTAAGCACTTTTAGGCTCAGATGAACTTCGGTGTGCTGTGACTTTGTGTTGAAGATTTTCTGCTCACTGCGGTGCTTGTTTCTATTTCTGGTTGTGGTAAAGCAGAAAATGTTACTTTTCAAGTGCTGCATTCATAAATATTTACTCTAAAAAAATGTTTTTAAATAGAATAAAATGTATTTTTTACAATAGACCCAAGTTGAGAAATAAGAATGTAACAACTTTTCTAACACTGACCATGACAGCACGAGGACATCTGATTCGTCTAAATTATACTAGTGAAATTAATAAATATGTGTAACTATTTGGGCCTTTAGCTAAATGTTTAAACCTATTTGCTCCGTTATCGTTGATTCGACTGTAAATGGTATTTTGTGAACATTTGAGAGACGTTTAAATTTAATAATGCGGAGAAAGGAATATTGATGGAAACATAAGCGGCTGTTTCTTGCAGGTGTCTTTTGTGTTGCATATTTCTGGAGTGAATTTTATTTTTAATCACCGTCGTTGTGGCTGGTGCCGGTCTGTGCTTGTGTCCGCAGCGGAGTTGGTCTTGCTCGGGCACACTTCGAGAAGCAGCCGCCCTCCAACCTCCGCAAGTCCAACTTCTTCCACTTCGTGCTGGCGTTGTACGACAGGCAGGGTCAGCCGGTGGAAATAGAGAGAACCACCTACGTGGACTTTGTGGAGAAGGAAAAGGTGAGTTTACACAATTAACAAAAAGAACAAAATTTTCTCATATGAGGCTTGATAAAAAAAGACATATTATGAGGTAATATTGGATACATTTCAGAGCACCGGGTGTTCATAAAGTGAGAAATGATTAACAGACGCACACAGCAGGGATCCTACGTCCTGCAAACTTCATGGTGGGATCACTTCTGATTGATTTAACTCTTCTTTATTATTACAAAAACATCGAAGTTGATTAAACACACATTACTAAAAAGTGTACACCTCTAATAATATTGAATTTATAATGGTGGAGCACAGCGGGCTGTCCGCTCCTGCAGGTGTTGTCAGGCATATTTATTTTTTAAACGGACATCAATATTTGTGTAATATTGATCTGTTTGCAAGGGAGTGTTATTTGTGAGTGAGTATTTGCTGTAAGTGTGTGTTTTATTTATCAGCTTTAAGTAACGGCTTGTTTATTATTTATTAGATCAAGATGTCTGTAAACTCTTTCCATTTTAATTACACATTTTAATGTTTCAATTCGATTTGGCAAATGAGTAAATAATAAATGTGTCAATTGATTATTATTTAATTTTTTTTTGCATTTTTATTGCAACATTTCCAAACAATTTACGTTTGAAATATAACAGGCCCATTCGTTAATAAAGGTTCTTTTTCAAAACATTAGGGTATTAACCATTTCCGTTCACTGGACAAAATAATAAATACATTGTGCAAACAGAACATTTTTCCTGTCATGTATGAGTGTGATTTAAACGAAGTGAATGAATTAAAACACGATGTGCAGTGTTGAAGACGGAACATGTTAATCATGTCTAAATGTGAAGTGTTGGACGCGCAGTTCGAGTCCCAGGAGGAGAGGGCTTTGCTTGCTCTGACTCGACTCTGTTTGGTTTAATTTTCATAGGAAACGACGGGGGAAAAGACCAACAATGGGATCCATTATAGACTCCAGCTCCTCTACAGTAACGGTGAGTTTGGCTTCAGTCATTTTTTATGGAGCAAAAACAAAAGCAGTCAGCGAATGATCCGCAAAGCAGAGAGAGAGGAAACTGAGGAAACTAATGTTTCAAGAGGCCACACCATAGAGTGTTTTCACTTGTTCATTGTCGTCATGTTTTATCACATCCTTTCAAAGTTTTTAATCACAAAGTATTATTTAGCATGATTATTTTTCATAATGCTGTTATAATAATTGTTAATATTGTGTTAATGCTGTGCCTGCTTCTTCCAAAGGTACCAAGAAAACAGAAAGTCAGCACGCTCAATGTCCTTTAAAGACTTGTCTGTTTTACTCGTGCACATGAAGTTTTATTATTGTTGACTGTTATTATTGCTGTTTTTTACTTCCAAAAGAAAAGTTATATTTTCTGGTCAACTACTTTTGTAACAGTAGACAACCCAAGGAAACAACTTAATTTTTCAATCCTTCTTTTAAGTTATTTAATTTGATGTTCCTCTAGTGACAAAATAAAAACATGTACTGATTTTAATTTAGAAAAGTGTTCCTTTTGCTTTAAAACATTTTCACTTCAAAAGTATTTAAACAAATGTTTTTAGAAATGCGTCACAAGAAGGGTCAAGAAACTAAATTCACATATCACGATTCAGACAAACTGACCGCCTGCAACAAATACTTATAATACGTTATAGGTAAGAGTTTGGACTCATTCAGCTTTCATAAAGACTCACAGGGGGAGTCAGAGTGAATCAAGCTGAGCTCTAGATGTGATGTGACTTGCTGGTTACATTTTCTTTCTCTGTGTGCAGGCATCAGAACAGAGCAGGACCTGTATGTTCGTCTTATCGACTCCATGACTAAACAGGTAAGAGGTTTGAATACAAGTTTGGGTTTGAAGTGTTCGGATGTTGGTATGAATGTTGCCCACAACTCCAACCTCCCCTGTGCCCCCCCCCCCTCCCCCCTCCTCCCCCTCACCCTGCATGCCTGTGTCTGAGACCCTCAACTTCAGCACAGCCCGGCCGGCGTGATAAATGACCTGTCTTACCTGTGGAATACATTTACAGAGGCCCAGAAAAGTAGAGGACATGTGTCCTCATACTCTCCAGTAAGAGGGGGCAGTGTGTGTGTGTTTTACTAGCCTCAGGTAGTGTGTGTGTGTGTGTGTGTGTGTGTGTGTGTGTGTGTGTGTGTGTGTGTGTGTAAGGCTGTGTGATCGTGCAGTGTGTGAATATGTGGCTGAGTTGCAGGAGCTGTTGTGTGTTAGCGTTTGAGAGAGACTGTGATGCATGCCAGCTCACTCTTTGAGGACCTTGACCCTCATTTCCTCAATGTGAAACAGAACAAACTATCCCTGAGTGTGTTAACGGCCAATTCAATCACACAAAGAAATAAAGAGCAGCACATGTGGGCTGACACCCATCTGAGGGAATGCTTCATTTGGATGAATTAGATAACCAAGAAAATACGCTGTTTTGATATCAGCTTTTTTGTTTTGCCAATTCTCCCTCTAGTGCCATTAGGCATGAAGAGAGTTTGCCTTAGAATGAAAGGAGTAGGAGGGGATGTTGTTTGTGCAAATGCATGTTTGTGTGTGTGTGTGTGTGTGTGTGTGTGTGTGTGTGTGTGTGTGTGTGTGTGTGTGTGTGTGTGTGTGTTTATGCGTTTGCATGTTTATCGCTGTGTGTGTGTGTGTGTGTGTGTGTGTGTGTGTGTGTGTGTGTGTGTGTGTGTGTGTGTTAGTGCCAGACTAGATTTTTGGACGCGTTGCTGTATGGACCAGATGGTGCGCTATACTCCAGTCTGGCAGTCCAACTGCTCACTGTACACAGCATATAAACATACGTGCACGCACAAACACATATGCACACACGGGACTACACACACAATACTCAAAAGTACACACACACACACACATACAAATGATTTCTCTCTGAATGTCTCTGTCAGAACAGAGCGTTCTGCTCAGGAGGACTGGATTCCCACGACACACACATTTGCCAGATAGACAACACTACTCGCAGATGAAAGACACATGCACACACACACTTTCTCTGTTTTTTATTTGCCACTGCATAGTGGTTCTTTTTTTCCCCCTTGAAGCCAGCCACAAAAAATATAAATCACAATTTCTTTTTAAATGTTCTGTGTCATTTTGTCTCCTTTTTCTTCTAGGCGATCATCTATGAGGGTCAAGATAAAAACCCAGAAATGTGTCGGGTGCTGTTGACCCACGAGATCATGTGCAGGTATGGACCAATAACACACCTGCAACCTGCAACTGTGATTTGTTGACCGAGCCATCATTTTTTATTATAGTGTAGATCAAGATGAATGTATTGTCACATGAGAGGTGTCTCTGCTGGTGTAGATGGGGAGAAGACATGAGCTGCTAAACTACAATAGAAATCTTATCATTTTCCTCAAAGTGGGTTGGGGAGCTGGGCCCTGGCCTATTTCTGTTGATAGGGATGTGTGTGTATGTCTCTGTATATATATATATATATATATATATATATATATATATATATATATGTGTGTGTGTGTGTGTGTGTGTGTGTGTGTGTGTGTGTGTGTGTGTATCCCTCTCATGTTCAGCTAATTAGGACAAGGAAAAGCTCATTACTCAAACCCTCCTTGCTCCTTAGTCTGTGTAATACACGCAGTTTGCTGTGTCCTGACAGTGAGCTATGTGCATAGGGGGATGGATTCAAATTACACATATTATATACGTATTCACACGCGCACACACACACAAAATAAGATACACTAAAGTAAGCATAGATTTAACACGCTGTTGTGTGCATTTACAATCAATAAAAGCATCACACAGCATGTCATTGTGCCAAACAATCCAGTTATTTGGAGATGCATGCTGCTGCGTAACGTGTAGGAAAAATGGCTGATGGCAAAGTGTAGCCACTTCCTGGTTATCACACGAGGTAGTTTGGACCACTTGTTTTTATAAAGCTGCAGGAAACGGTCGAGATCAGAAATCTGATCTGGCTCTCCAAGCCTCCTGTCCTAAGGGACTCAAAAAAGTAGGGGGGGAGGGTCAATCTCTCTCTCTCTCTCTCTCTCTCTCTTTTGTGTCTTTCTCCATCCTACATACGCACATACAGTAGGTGCACACATGCAGGCAGACACAGGTACACACACTCCAGCAGACAGAGAAGAAAAGGTAGAAAGTGCTGATACTTTTTGGGGGTGGGGGGGTTTGATGGCACACAACACACTCTTACATTGTGCTGCAGTCAAATGATTCAGAAAGGACTCGTCACATCAGTATGCAACCCCCTTCTACCCAGCATGCACTACTCCCCAGGTCCAGTGGGACCACTCTGTGACCCACTTCTGAGAGAGAGAAAACGAGCAAGCGAGTGAGAGAGAGAGAGTGAGGCGGGATAGAGGGAGGGGGACGAGCACTGAGGAAAAATAGAGAACATAAGATGTCTGGTTGTGTGATGTCTGACAGAAATGGAGCTAACCTGAGCCCTGGAGGCTAATTCAAGTTTGTATCCAGTCCCATTCAAGCTCGCTGCTGCAGCTCCTCTCCTCAAAACTTTTCCTAAAAAAAAAAAAAAAAAAACGGCTCACGGATCTCACCGAATGTAGCAATAGAGCCCTGGTCTTACCTCCAAAAGCCCGACAAAAATCCAGCGCACGCTGATTCTTGCAACTCCACAAAAGTCTCACGCCCTTAAACACCTCTTTTCTCTTTCCTGTATCCCTCCACTGACATCCTCTCACTCACACTGCTCTGTGTTATCTGTCTCTCTCGGTTGTTCCCATGTCTGCGACTAACTCCCCCTTTGCCTCCCCCATCCTCCTTTCTCACCTCCCCGCAGTCGATGCTGTGATAAGAAGAGTTGTGGTAACAGGAACGAGACCCCATCCGACCCTGTCATCATCGACAGGTAAGCAAACTTTGCCCTTTGACCTCAGACGATGTGACAACACGCTCTCCTTGCAAACACAAAACAAGGCATGTATGACTGTGTATGGGAGATAACAGTACATGTGTGCAGAATACAAAGGCGGAAATGTTTCAGGGAAATACAAGAGATGCAAACATGGTGATGTTATTTTTTATTTTCCAGTGAAATGAATTTTAAACAAGTGTTCTGGCTGAGAGAATAAATCCTCCAGGCCTAATAAAACAGGCCACAGGTTGTTTAAATCTCAGCAGCCATAATTGAGTGTGTAGGCAAAACGTGTGAAACAGCAGTAAATAATATTCCAGTGGTGTGTGTGTGAAGAGGAGGAGTGATCACAGAGCGCTGGAGCTCTGCTTCAAGTGTGGTCAAACAGTGTTTGTGTGGTTTGGCCGATGACTTAGCTGATGAGCAGTTAGGGTTACGGCTACATTCTGATGTGTATGTTTGTGTGTGTTTCTGTATATAAATCTCACTCAGTGTGGACTGTGGGCTTGTCTGTTACTTTTGACACACACATGCACACTCTCTGTACACACTTTATACTTTGAGTGTGCACCTTTCTCCTGCCCTCATAAACTACCTCTGACTGATGCAGCAGCTTTCATGATTTATGGTCAGTCGGAATACAAAGTAAAGCCCGGTAGATTTACAGTCCAGACTGAGTTGTGTGTGGCACGTTTGTGGACATACACCGAGAGGGAAATCACTTGTTTATACTTGAACACATTGTTGGAGCATGCAGATTGAAGGCTGCATTCTGTTCAGCACCTAAAAAGAGCTACATCTTGCACACATTCATCTTTTCTGTCTTGTGATCTGTAAACAGTCTCACAACTTGGGTAAAAAAAAAAAAAAAAAGCAGTGCATTATGGGTTATTTAGATTTCATGTCTGATTTGAATGTGTCACATTAGAGTTTATGTGTGTGTGTGTGTGTGTTTGTGTGTGTGTGTTTTTGTGTGTTAATGAAGCATTGACCTGTATTATCTGATGATCACAGCTGTCCTTTTCTCTGTCAAAAAGCTGCTCTTTACCTGTGTATGTATGTATGTGTGCATGTGTGAATGTGTATGTGTGAGCGCTCGCCGACCATGTTCCGCTCCACTGAAGCAGAAGGCCTCACCTCAGCGCTCCCTGAGACAGCTGCACCCCGACACGTGGCCTCAGACAAACACGCCTGCCCATCACTCTGTGCCACATTTCTTCATTTTTTGTTTTCTCATGTGTGTGTACTTGTTGATGTTCTCATGTATGCACTTTGATGGGCGGGGGGGGGGGGCATCCTGGTTTGCTTCATTTTCAAACTTTCTCCTCAGTTTGCTGCAGATTGAGCGAAGCCGCCTTGGTAAAAACAGGCTGCTGCAGAACAGCTTTCCCACACTGAGCATGTGTTGTGGTGGCTTGCTTGGCAGTATTCCCCCGACGCTCCGATGGCTCAGGTGTGAGGGCAGCATTAACGAACAACAAATTAGAACAGAGGGAGGGAAAAAAAAACAGCAATATCTCCCTTTTCCTCTCCAGCGAGCACTCTTTCTGGACAGGAAAATAGGTCAGGTGAGAGGAGAGCGATTTGGGGGTGGGTGCGTGGGGGTAGCTTGGTTTGGGGGGGGATAAGGAGAGGAGGGTTCATTTGTTTGCTCATTTAGTACCAATATATTCTTGGCAGTTGTAATAATCAGGGATTCATAAACAAACAAACAACTGTGAGGGGGAAACTGACTCAATTACCATGAGTTCCCCTCCTTCAAATTCATAAAGAAATACCATCAGCAGCCCCTCTTCCACCCTTGAAGTTATTTAGTTCGTTAAATAAGGGCTCGTTAGCCCTCTGCTGTTTCGCAGAGATGATTAGATTTTACAGCCCTAATTAGCCGGGCTAGCTCTAACTCTTCTGGAAGAGTAATGGGTCTGATTGCCTAATTAGCTCTCTCTCGTTAAGACGGGAGAAACAGGCCACTGCAGCAAAACCGCAGGAATGGGGAAAAAAAATAAAGTCAGCTAATGAGAAACTTATTTGATTGTTAGGAGAACAAATGTGGTACAGTGTGGATCGGCAGCGCTCTGGGTACTGTACTGAGCACACTCTTTATCTCGCCTCCTGTGTTAAAGCCTCTTCAAGGAGCATGTGATACAGATTTTAATTATAAAGCATGTTTGTTTATAGTGTGAGTGAAATCACTTTTCACATGTCTAGATTATTTTCCTGACTTTGTAAAACAAACCACCACGATCTGTCCTGTTTTCATGCTTTTTGTGTTTACATGGATGGTTGCGTCGGCTTTCAATTTTTTGGTGTCATTGTCCTCCCTGACTGACTGGGATAGATTTCAAAGCACATCTGATTTCAGTCAGTCTGTTGCTGAAGGTGGCAAAACGCCCATACTTAATGTTTTAAACCTCTGAGTTGGAGCGATGAGAATTTCTGAGAGACCTTGGCATGACATGCTTTGTCTGTTCTTGACACCGGGCAGGGGAAGCTGCTGAAAGGTGAGAAGCTCCTGTGTGCCTCTCAATGTCTTCCCCAGGGAAACATGTGTGGTCCACTTTAGCCTCTTACAGAGGCAGGATAATATGAGGGGAGCCCTTAACCCCCCCACCTCCATTTCTCTACCCCTTTGCCTCACTCCTGTTAGCACGGGGGTTAATCATATGCAGCCACAGCGAGTTAGTCTATCATGTGCCTGAATGGGCCTCATATCACAAACACATTTCCCTCTCGACCGGGTGCACCTTTGCTCCCTCTCTGCTTTCATTTTCTTGAAATCATCTTCCTAAAGAACTTAATTTACTTACAGAGTAATCTCTTATCCCTACCCTCTTTGGGGGTATGACTCTCCCTCCGGCCCCTTGTGTCCTCCCTTGCCTCCTACCACCTGTGTCCCCTGGTCCATTTCCTGCCTGTCCAGCTCCCCCAGGCCTGCCGCAGGGTTTCCCCTAGGCCTCTCCTGTGGGGGGGGGACTCTCTGTGACTAGAGATACGGATCGGCTGGATACCCCCGCGTATCCCATGATTCCTCTTTCCAGTCATGGTGCAGAGGGAGGGGTTTGGGGGTGTCTACTTGACATGCACACAAGATGTTATTTCAGGTTTTATGGCTGTTTTGGAGTGTGTGCTTGTGAGTGTTTGCGTTTGCACACACTCCTTCAGCCCGCCGTCGATGTGGCCCATTTCCTCGCCATGCGTGTCTGTGCTTGTGTATCTGAGCTGGTGTTGGATATTTCCCCAGGAGTGTGTGTGTGTGTTGATAGAGGCCATTTCCTGGCGAGTGTGTGTGTGTGTGTGTGTCTTGAGTGAAGAATGTCGGGCAGGAAGTGCTCCTCCCGGGGAAGATGATGTCATGGCCGACAGTTTCCTGTTGTGTGAGCCAATACACAGGCTGGTTCTCAGCTTCACGGTGGGTAGTTAGCACTCGTGGACCATGGGGTTTTGGTTCTGCCTGTTTTTAGCTTTACACCTGGTCTGGTTTAACACCTGATAATCCAACGCACAAGGAAATACCATTTCAGTTAGCATCTTCCCGTGTTTACAGGATTGCAATTTCCCAGCTCATGCATTTTGCTGGATACCTTGTTTGTCACTATCCCCCCTCTGTGTCTCTGTGAAGTGGGGAACCCCCTCATTGTTTTGGTTGTTATGTTTGGATGCACTTCCTGGGGTTAGAGGTCATGTGTTGCCTTGGCTGGGCTAACGTGCGCTAGTGAATAATGTATGTCATTGACTTTATGTCAGCCCTGCCAGCCCCCCAAGCCGAGCCCACCCATGTTTAATTCATCCATCTCATTTGTGTGTTTGTGTGTGTGTGTGTGCCTGCAAATATGTGTGTGTGTGTGTGTGTCATTTAGAGGCCCAGTCTGCACCTGTCCAGCCATTAGCCTCGTTCTCATTTGCATTTGATGCTAATGTGGTTTACTGGCAGTGCCTTCCTTCCCCTCAGCGTAGTTTCACTTTCATATCCGTGACTGTTAGTGAGAAGGTAGAAACACTTACAGCTGAACATGCTTCTGACTCTATCTGCTGGGCCGTCTGATAGCTGGATGTTGAGGTCTTCATTTTTCATGACCAGAGTCTGTTTAATTGGAACTAGCACACCCATTTTTCCCTTTTATCCCACTTTGTTTTGTTTCTGCTGCGTCTCTGACCACTTTCCTTTAGCTTTCTCTTCCCCCTTCAGGACGATGAGAGGCTATACATGAAACCCCTCCGCTGACAGAATCTCACGTTTTGTTGTTTTCTCTGAAGGGGAGGAGTGATCTCTTCACATCTTGCCTCGATAATTTGGAACAGCCGTTTTTTTTTTAAAGCTGATTTTTTATTTTTCCTCGTTGACCTGATGTTCTTTAAGAGGGGGGGAGAGCCGCATTAGATGTTATGGGCGGCTTTGAAAAAGGACTGGCCCTGAGCTGGCTCTGGTGATGGTGTAGGGCTCAGGGGCAAAGAGGCAGAGTTGCTGGCTCATCGATATATGCAGGCAGAACTCCCCTCCCGCAAGGTGCTGGCTGCCCCACAAATCTGCCTCACACACACACACACACACACACACACACACACACACACACACACACACACACACACACACACACACACATAAACACAGATGCAGCTCCCTCACCTTCGGATCAACTTATAAACACATGCCAGAAGCACGCATGCGCAGTTTTAGGAAATCCACAGGCGTGCAGAAATATAACACACACACATTGACCTGCAGCTCTCTGCATCTGTTTGGTTGTGTTCTTTTTCTCTCCCTGCGGTGGTTTACCCCCCCCCCCCCCCCCCCGGGTTGGAGGAAAGCGCGGCCCCAGGGGACATGCGGCTGCGCTGATTGACAGCAGGGAGTTTGGAGGTCGAGGAGCCTTTAAAGCAGCGCTGCGTCTTTCCCATCCAGACCTTCAGCACTCTCACCCCCCAACAACAGGCTTTGCTTTCATTTGCCAAACACCCCACACAAAAAATTAACACATCATTCTCAAAGTAAACACCGGTTTGTTTCTATGATATGAAATATTAAATCAAGGCAAGCTGTTTTTGTTTTTGTGTTGAGGAAATAATGAGGAACACACTGAAATAACTTACATTAAGTTTGTGTTGTTGTGTTTTAATTCTTTCCCCCAATAAACTCACCAGTGCTGCTATTGCTCTTTA